GCCGCGCCGACAAAGAAGCCTTTCTTGATCGGCACAGGTAAACCTGGTTTCACGAGGCATACCTGTGCCGATCAAGAAAGGCTTCTTTGTCGGCGCGGCGCGTCCAGACTGCCCCGATCTGCCGACAAACAGCTGATCGGCAGAGCGGGGCAGCCATTTAAATTTAAATGAAGCCGCGATTATTTTAATCGCGGCTTCATTTCCCTCTGCCGATCTGGCTAATCTGCATGCCTCCGTCGACGGAGGCATGTAGTCTAGACACACCCTAGGAAAAAACTCCTACTCGTGAGAGTGGTGAAACACAGGAATAAATTGCTTAGAGAGGAAGTAGAATCTCCATTCCTGGAGATATTGAAGAGCAAGTTGGACAGACACTTGTTGGGGATGGTCTAGACCAGGGCTATTAAACACATGGCCCGTAGGCTGCTTGAGGCCTGTGGCCTGTTTATTTGTGGCCTTCAGTGTGCTTTGGCTTTACACGGGGCTCAACACACAGACTGCTGATGGGAGCCAAAACAAAAACGCAGTCAATATCACGGGCTTCTGCTGAGATGTGTTTTACTAGTTACATTCCTGGACTGTCATTGCTCATTAAAAGTGCTGTCAGATGGGTTGTGTTGTGTAGTCGTGCCTTAATGTTGGTATTTATGCCTGTCAGTGTGAAAGAATCTGTTTGCATATATTTGCATATATATTTGCACGTATTTGCAACCACACTTAAGTTGCAGCCCTCCGCATGTACTGTGAGTATCATTGTGGCCCCCGGGGCTTGCAAAGTTGAGTAGCTCTGACCTAGACGGTGCTTGGTCCTGCTGTGAGGGCAGGGGACTGAACTCGATGACCTCTCGTTCCAGCTCTACCATGCTAGGATTCCCAGTCCCATTGTGATGGTAGATGATCCTGTGCCTCTTCCCATCTTGCTGCTCTCGGGGGGAGAAGGCTCAGGCCAGCTCTGGCCAGGGGGCCTCTTCCCTCCCCGCTGCTCTGGGGATGCTGGGGTGTGCATGGGCTCTTATCCTCCCCATGGTGGGGCGGGGCATGTGCACTTGGTGTGCTGCGCCTCCTTCTCCCCTCCCTGTGGTGGGGGCGGGGCCTGTCGATGGGGCTGGGAGCCTGTCTCTTCCTGGAAACTTCTCCAGTCTTCTCAAATGTTCTATGACCTGAACTGTCCTGGGCCATTGCTAGATGGAAACGACAAAACGATCAGTATCCATGGAGACAAGTCAACGGTGTCCAGTGACTCTTTCTGTTCTGTGCGTGGGGAAGAGCCCACGAGCTACTCGCACCAGCCCAGGATGGAAACACTCTCTCTCCATTCCACTGGTATCTCAGGGGGTGTCGAATAGCAGCTTCGAGTGGCATTGGTTGAGCAAAGGGGCAGTAACAATGAGTCAACAACAATATGAGAATCTTTGTGAAGAGGCCTGGTAAAATTGATGCTCAAAAAGAAATCGACTTAGGACTGTTGAAGCAAAAAAAACGCTTCTCTCTGTTTAGGCAGCTAACAAACAGCTTTATTAATTAATAAAGCACAGCATGAGCCAAACGTGGTCACAGCAGAGCCGGGCCCAGTAAGGCTGCTAATACAATCAATCCTAGGGGTAGCCGTGTTAGTCTGAATCTGCAAAAGCGACGAGGAGTCCTGTGGCACCTTATAGACTAACTGAAGTGTAGGAGCATAAGCTTTCGTGGGCAAAGACCCACTTCGTCAGATGCATGTAGTGGAAATTTCCAGAGGCAGGAATAAATATGCAGGCCAGGATCAGGCTGGAGATGAATCTGTGATTTGGCGGGGGGGCCATAAGCAGGAGGGCTGACCAGCACCTGGGGACTAAGGGGTTAACTTAATTTGCATGTATTCCATAGTCTAGTAAGGCATGCATGTACTTATTAACTATGTTTTATCCCAGACCTTCAATAAGAAATCACTGTCTGATTGGGGGGGGGAGGGGTGTCATAAGCAGGAGGGCTGACCAGCACCTGGGGACTAAGGGGTTAACTATGTGTCCTGTCCCTAGCCAGGTATCTGGTCAGCCAATAGTAATGCAGGTAGGGATTTCAAACTGGGATTTCAAACTGGGACAAGGGAATTTTTATCTTCTCCCTCCGAGATTTTTCTTCCAAGCAACAGGGAGATGGGAGGCCCGGCTCTCTCGGAAAAGTCTTCTTATAATGTGTAGGTAGGGCGAAGTTTAGGTTTTATTGTTTCTTGGTTTGAGAATTCGGAACTGAGGTCTGTGCTGTTAAAAATGTTTTTTCTTTCTTTAAAAGTGTTTTTCTCTTCCCTGATTTTTCATGGAATTACTTGGGTGATGGCAGCAGATGTTCTCCAAAAGCCGGGTATTAAGATTTAGGGGAAAGTTTTTGTACCAAAGTCTGTAGAGACAAAGTTTGGGGGTGCTTTTGCAGCCCCCCACATCTGCATTTGTCGCGCCTATGTGGGGAACAGCCTTGGCAGCAGGGGAGGGAGAAGAGGGGCGCAGATATCAAGGTGCCCCCTCTCCCACTCTGAATCCTATCTCCACAGAGCAGAGAGGGGACACAACAGGACTTAGGAGGGAGTTTCCTGGCTGCATTTGGGCATGGGGCAGGGCCAGGGCAGGGGGGAGCCTGCCTTAGCCCCACTGCACCATCCAGGAGCTGCCTGAGGTAAGCAGGGCCCAGCCGGAGCCCACAGCAAAACCCCTGCTCCAGTCATGAACCCCCTCCTGCACCCCAAGCCCCCGCCCTAGCAGCCCTGCATCCAATCACTCTCCCAGAGCCTGCACCTAGAACCCCTCTGGCACCCCAACTGCCTGCCTCAGAGACCCTCCCACATTCCAGATCCCTGAATCCAAGACCGGAGCCTTCACACCAACCCAGTGCTCCTACCTGGGCAAAGGGAGGGAGGAAGGGGGAGGGAGGGAGCATGGAGGGAGCAGGGGAGGGGCTTAGGAGAAGGGGCAGGAGGGTGGTGGGGCAGGGTATTTGGGTTTGAGGTAGGTCTTGGATTGCACTGAAATTCAAAAAGTGATCTCGATCTTACAAAGGTTGGAGATCCCTGTCCTTAAGCTGCGCCCTCAGTCACACCTTGCATGGAGCTGACACACACCAGCTGCCTACTCCTGGCCCGAGGAAGAGCTCTGTGATGCTTGAAAGCCAACAGCAGAGATTCCCTCACCCATGTTGCCTACCCGGGGACACTGACAGCAGCACCAGCCCCCTTGGAAGAACTCCATTGCAGGCCACAGAGGCATTGGGCTAGTTGGACTCTGCATCCGTAACAACAGGGAGCAACATCAGACTGCTTGTCTGTGTCTTTCAGTGTCCTCTGCGCAAGTCCTTGGGGTTCCCCTGCAGGCAAGTCCACAGGGACCAGGGGAAGCTTTCAGGAGCGTGTGGAGAGGATGGTTCATCACACCGTGCCAGCTGTTAAACAACTGCTCGTTATTCTAGGCAATGTCAGTCCCCTTAATGCAGGAGTCTCTGACTTTTCCTGGGAGGATCGTCTGAGCTGCAGTCAGCCCTACAAACTACAAGTCCCATGAGCCCTTGGGAAAAAGGAGGGGAAAATTGTTGCTGCTCTTCCAGGCTGTGCAGGGAGAGTCAGGGGAGGCTGCATTTGGGGAGAGGAGCCGGATTGCTGCTGAGGAGCCTTTTCCAGGCTAGGAGCTGTTGTGCTGGGGCTTGGCTCTAGCAGGCTGCTTCGGGGCGGTTGATTGTCCCTGGAGGGGAGAGCCCCCGGCTGTGCCTGTGGCTGGGAAGGGCCTGCACAGGAGGTGACTGTGAGTAACTGGGGCTGTTTGGCAGAGCGCTGCCTGGGACGGAGCCCGGAAGACCGACTGACTCTGCCCAAAGAGAGCCAGAGTGAGCTCCCCAGGGACCAGAGCTGCTGGCATTGGGTGGGCCTGCTCCAGCAGCAGAGGGGTTTTCAGCTGGCTGTCTGCCTGGACTGACACACACAACCTGCCCAGGGCTGTCTCCACTCCAGCTGCAGCCCTTCGAGCGCCCCAGGCCAGCAGGTGAGTCCAGAGGAGGGTGGCAGCACATGCCAGAGACACGTCTCCTTTCTTCCTGGGCACTTCAATTGATTTTCTTCATGTTTAGTCTGCTCAACCCTGTTTGGTTACGTTGCTGAGCAGAGGTGGCTAATTCTAATTCAATCAATGAGAGGAGTGTTATTTACAATGGTTGCCTTGGAGTTAGACCCAGATTGTTACTGGAGTAAATTGATTCCTGGAGGCTCCCCAGGTGCAGCATTCAGTGTGCACAGGGCCAGCCAGGTGGAGGCACCGGCACTGTATATTCCTTTAGGACCAAGAGACAGTGGCAAGGGGGTGAGTGGGGATTCCCGGCTATCCAATATCACCACTTGGCTACGCAGGATCCCTGTTAGTGTTAAAACCTCCAGGCACCCAGGGGAGCCTGGCCTGCTCCCGAGTGACCAGGGAGGGAAGAGAGGGCTACACAAAGAAGGTACACGTTGCTAGAATATATACTTGCTGGTACCATCAATATTGTTCCTAGCTACAGCCTTGGAGTTCCGTGCCGTTTGCCATAGGGAACATAAGAACATCAGAGCAGCCATAATGGGTCAGACCAAAGGTCCAACCAGCCCAGTGTCCTCTCTGCCAACAGTGGCCAATGCCAGGTGTTCAAAGGGAGTGAACAGAACAGGGAATCTTTGAGTGATCCCTCCACTGTCGCCTATTCCCAGCTTCTGACAAACAGAGGCTAGGGACGCCATTCCTCCCCCGCCTGGTTAACAGCCATTGATGAACCAATCTAGCTCTTTTTTGAACTCTTTTAAAGTCCTAGGCTTCATCACATCCTCTGGCGAGGAGTTCCACAGTTTGACTATGCGCTGAGTGAAGAAAAACTTCCTTTGGTTTGTTTTAAAACTGCTTCTGAATCATTTCATTTCACACTCTCTCATTCTTATGTTATGGCAACTTAAGAATGGTCATACTGGGTCAGATCAAAGGTCCATCTAGCCCAGTGTCCTGTGTTCTGACAGTGCTCAATGCCAGGTGTCCAGAGGGGATAAAACAGGACAGTTTTATTATTGAGTATCAGAGGGGGAGCCGTGTTAGTCTGAGTCTGCAAAAGCAGCGAGGAGTCCTGTGGCACCTCAGAGACTAATTGAAGTGTTGGAGCATAAGCTTTCATGGGCAAAGACCCACTTCGTCAGATGCTCCAACACTTCCACAGATTGAGACGCGCTGCATGAAGAAAAACTTCCTTTGGTTTGTTTTAATTAACTGTTTTAATTAACCCTGTTAATTTCATTGGGTGACCCCCTAGTGCTTATATCATGTGAACAAGGAAATAGCACTTCTATATTCATTTTCTACATGCCATTCATGATTTATACACCTAGAGCAAACCCCCTGGAGATCTCTTTTCCAAGCTCAGCTGTCTGAGGGTACGTCTAAACTACATGCCTCCGTCGACGGAGGCATGTAGTTTAGACGTACCCTCAGACAGCTGAGCTTGGAAAAGAGATCTCCAGGGGGTTTGCTCTAGGTGTATAAATCATGAATGGCATGTAGAAAATGAATATAGAAGTGCTATTTCCTTGTTCACATGATATAAGCACTAGGGGGTCACCCAATGAAATTAACAGGGTTAATTAAAACAGTTAATTAAAACAAACCAAAGGAAGTTTTTCTTCATGCAGCGCGTCTCAATCTGTGGAAGTGTTGGAGCATCTGACGAAGTGGGTCTTTGCCCATGAAAGCTTATGCTCCAACACTTCAATTAGTCTCTGAGGTGCCACAGGACTCCTCGCTGCTTTTGCAGACTCAGACTAACACGGCTCCCCCTCTGATACTCAATAATAAAACTGTCCTGTTTTATCCCCTCTGGACACCTGGCATTGAGCACTGTCAGAACACAGGACACTGGGCTAGATGGACCTTTGATCTGACCCAGTATGACCATTCTTAAGTTGCCATAACATAAGAATGAGAGAGTGTGAAATGAAATGATTCAGAAGCAGTTTTAAAACAAACCAAAGGAAGTTTTTCTTCGCAAGAGCAGGGCCATATCCTTATTTGTCTTTGTAGCCCTTCTCTGCCCCTTTCCCAATTGTAGTGTATCTTTGTGAGGCGAGCTGAGAGGGCTGCATGCAGTATTCTGGGTGGGGGTATTCCAAACTGTATGGAGGAACATTCGGTTTCAGGATTATTCTCTGTCCCTTTCCATCTGCACAGTTTGCCACCTGTTTACCCCCTTTTCCAGATGCTTTATGAATCTGTTGAACAGCCCTGATCTTTGGTCTAGTATCTGGCTGGGCAGCTTGCTCCGGGCCTCTCCTTCTTTAGACACCGTGCAGCTCCCAGACCCCATTTCCCACCACCGTCAGCACAGCCCCACGGAACAGGGGGAAGTGCCTCTCACCTTCAGATCCTGGAGCTGCATCAGCATCTTCTCCTTTGCGTCATCAAACATCCCACCCTTCGTCTCCTTCCCAATGTTCTCCACGAGCACATTTTGCATCCGCTGGAAGGTTCCCGTGCCCCTGATCTTAGCTGCCACTGTTGGAAAGACAGGAGCAGTCAGAGTGCTAGATGTGTCTGGGGAAGATTTTTTTGGGGAGGGGGGCAGGTTTGGAGGAGGAAAACAACGGCGGTGACAGCACCAAAGGGACGTCCCCGCTGCTCTTCTAGGGAGAGCGACTTTAGTGCTGGAGAACAGAGCCAGCCTGGCTGCCGCTGAGAATAACCCTCCCTTGTATCTCTCAGGGCAAATGGCCCCTCCATGCCTGTACGTGCTCCAGCCTGAGTGGGCCTCAGGGCGCTGCAGAGGTGCCAGTGAAACGCTGAGCAGCAATGGATTTGTGCCAGATCCCAGCCCCTCTTCCAAGACTGCCCCATCCCCTGCCTATGCCCCTGCACGGTGACCTGGCTCCTTCTCCCACCTCGTTTATGCTCTTGGAGCTCCTCAGCCCATCCACAAGGCTCAGACTGACCCTCCCCCCCCGCCAAGCCTGACAGCCAGGCCCAAACAAGGACCGCCCCCCAGCACTCCACATCCTGTCATCCCTCCTGCAATGCCCCTCACTGCTAGGGAAGAAACAAGACTGAGGAGCGGATGGGTAATGAACAGCATTACTGCCCACGTTCGTTTACCTCAGACATACACCACAACATCCAAGTGGCAACAATTTGGCACCAGTTACACCCTTTTATCTATTTTGATGTGGCCTTGTAATTGTGGAGCTAATAAGTTAGTTAGTTAGTTAGTTAGTTAGTTAGTTAGTTAGTTAGTTATAATGAATGTATGGATTCAATTTAAACACAAGATGCAGGCCTCTGACAGGCCAGGCAGCTCTGTTAACTTAGCTCCAGCTCTGTTTGATGTTAGCATGTTGGAACATTGGAATATATAGTGATGTCAGCCTTAGATACAGCCTTGTAGTAGATGGAAAGAAGTTTAATGTTGAAAGACTTTGTAACTTTGTTGAAGTGACTAGAAGTAGCCCTTTGCTCTGTGCTGCAATTGTGTGAATGAGAGAGAGAATGCTTTAGGAGAAAGAAGTATGAAGGATACTTGCATGCTCAAATGGTTAGAGGAGAGGCTGGAGAGGAATGCTTTAGGAGAAAGAAGTGTGAAGGATACTGCATGCTCAAATGGTTAGAGGAGAGGCTGGAGACTCAGAAGCACCAAATAATTATCAACTAAGCTAAAGTGCACTGAAGATGCAAACTGGACTGAGGCAGGTTGATGAACCCTGCAGTTAGTGGCAAGCATCCCGATAGGAACCGATAACAAGTTTTGCCAGAAGACAACACCCAGGAAGGACTGTCAGCACACGGATATCAGATGACCGTGAGAACAAACTCCAGATAAACAGATGTCGCAGAAAAACTGACTATGATGCCAAATGACTGATTAAGGCCTGACGAGGCAAAATGCAGAGACTCGCATGGAAGGAAAATCCTATAAAGATGGGGTGTCTTGTATGGCTCTTCGGGTTCCTGTACTGCTAAGACTATGGAGCATCAGTCCGGACTGACAGGAACTCGGCTCCTTCTTCGCACCTGACCTATCTGCTGGTAACTATTCCATCAGGTAGGGGGAGGTTGTGTGCGTGTGTGCGCACGCACGTGCACTACTTTGTTATAAATGCGGTGTGTTACCTTATCTCCCTGAAAAAGATCCTCTGTGCTTCTTTTAAGTATAACATTTATAAGTTAATTCACATGTCTTTCCCTGAGTCTCTATTTAGTATGTTAACTCCCATACAATGATTAACGGGCAGGTGATGAATATTATTATACCCACCCCTAATGACGATTTACAGAATTTCTAATTACATCAACCCTTTTCTACCCTACAGACTTTCCAAATCAGCAGGTTACAGAGATTACAAGTGACCCTGAAAATATTTTGTTACGGAGCAAGTGACAGTCAGTAAGGGTATGTCTACACTACAGTGCTAATTCGAACTAACTTAGATCGAATTAGTGAATTTGAACTAAGCTAATTCGAACTAGTGCATCTAGACCTAAAAACTAGTTCGAATTAGCGTTTTGCTAATTCGAACTAGCATGTCCACAGTGAGTGGACCCTGAACCGGGCTTAAGGATGGCTGGAAGCAGTGCCGGCAGGGCATCAGATGAGGACTTAGAGCGTGGAGCTGCTGTCTCAGGCTAGCCGAGGGCTGTGCTTAAAGGGACCCAACCCCAACCCCGGACAAACAGTTCTCAGGGTTCCCCGCTCGCTTGTCTAACTCGATGAGGGACAGCAAAGCAGTCCTGTCTTGGAGTGCCCTGAATGCCCACACTCGGCACATCACAGCACTCAGCCATCAGCCTGGCTGCACTTGCCTCAGGCTGCCATCTGCGGGGAGAAGGGGTGTCAATTGGGGGGCTGCAGGAGAGGAGCCCACAGAGCCACCCCAGTCCTCCCCATCGGGGGCTCATACCCCATTCCTCCCTTACCTCCTTCCACTTACCCCTCCCTAACCCCCCTTCCTGATGTACAAAATAAAGGACACGTGTGTTCAAAAATAGAAACTCTCTTTATTTAACAAAACTTGGGGAGAC